ATGGATGGTGTCAGCGCTCGGATCGGCACTTGAACTGTGCCAAACGGAGGAATATTCGAAGCTGATAATATCCTTGCACCCTTCCTGAGGACGTACGAGCATCTACGACTTCAGGGACCATTACGGAGATTACGGCAGTAATCGAAGGCTCGAGAGATGAGCTTTTTTGGAGAGATTTGTGCAGGTCCAGTGAGGAGCCAAGGTCCCTGTGGGGGGTGCTATGCTATGGCTATTGCGGCTGCTGTACAAGGCGCTATATACAAGGACTTCAAGGCGATGGGAATCCCCATACCAGATGACTTTGAACTTTCTCCTCAAGGAGTAAGTGGTAAAATGGTGGCCCATCATGGACGGGGCATCGTCTGCCTCCTTTCAGATTATTTCGTGTAGCTATACTGCTCAAGCCTGCAATGGAGGGTTCCCTGGTAGGCCTCGAGTGATTGTAGTAGAGCACTGTGGAAGTGTAGTACGCTAGGTTCAGTCGGTTTCGACCTACTCGTAACGGGTATAACAACAGAGCGATGCATGCCGTAGGGCACTGTTGTCCTACACGGTTGAGATTGCGGTTCTAAGATACGTGTCCGGCGATGGTAGATGCAAAGCCGAGTGTTTCAATGATGAGACGAAAGTGTGGTATGTCAAAGAAGGCACCTATAAAGGTAGAGTACTGCTTCAGCCATAGTGTGCAGCAACATCAAATAACACTAGTATCAACAGTGTGTATGCTGGGCTTTCTCAGGGGGATTCTATGGTCGTTGTAGCATGGCGAGGATGATGCAGCATGTCTATGTGTAAGCATGTTGGAGAGGTAGTAGTGGAAGGCTGTGAGCTCAGGCATGGACCGATGCAAGTGGCGATAGAGGCCCCTAATGGTCTCAACCCCACACTCTTTAATGATGTAGTATCACATGGAGTTCATCACGTGGAGTCTGACGGGAGTACAATGGATCTAGTAGGCGAAATAGGAAGGTTGGATGGCATACAGTATTTCGTGACAGGTTGAAATTTATGTGGCTAATGCCCCTAAGGGCTTCATGGAAGTGCTCAACCATGTTCCTCTGCGAGATCATAATGTACTCCTCACTGAAAAGGACGAGGCTCTGCTACGTAAGAAGCTTATGAGGAGCTGCCATCGCCCTTGTCGTCCTGAATGACGAGCTTGCTCTGTTTCAGGGCATCTGAGCGTGGCACCAGGCAAGCAGCCAGAGGCGGACGGGGACGTACACTTGCGTATACACGGCTCCTTCGAAGCCGATAAGGAGACTCTCACCGAATCGTTGGAGTCTCTCCTCACGAAGTTCGGTAGAGGCTTCCGGATAGCAAAGGTTGAGGCCATTGGTGGGCTCCGCATGTGCTTGCTATATGTATCACAACATCAGTACCTCAGGTTATGACCATTGGGGCTACACTAACCATGCTCTGACCATTGTGGGTTGGGGAACTGAGACTGATTCCAACACAGGGGAGGAACTGCCTTACTGGCTGGCTAGAAACTCCTGGGGTCCCAACTGGGGTAGTGCAGCACCGCCCATCACGTCGTTATGTTTTGTGGCTGTTAGGCCCGTTTGGAGACGGTCATCTCAAACTGGAGCGTGGTGTTAACCTTGGGGGCGTGGAGGCTCAAGCGATGTCGTTCCTTCCGGACCCTTGTCGAGGAAGCTACCGATGTACCACCCTCCACTGACCTACTCCTTTATGAGGCACGTTCTATATCAGATTATGTGGACATTTACATCGGTAATGGACGAGTGAATATAGCCGATTTACCAGAACATGTGCGTGTATGCTACCTTGAAACATGATCTATACGTGTTACTCTTATGTCACACTTTAGACCTCTTCATGCGTGTTTGGTTATCAACAGGACATCGGGAAGTGATACGCTCGAATGAGCAGTGGGTTCCTAAGAGTTTCTGATCCGAATCCTTCTTGCAGTCTCCATTCTGCATTGGGATGCACCATAGTCTTGTTCAAGGGCGTGTATAGAGATGAGTAGCTACGATTCTTGCTCGATCGTCGATCTGAAGATGAATACATACTCACGTTGATGCGTAGTAGATATCTTCATTCTGCCCTAAAGGGATGCCCGAGTGAAACCTTTCAACGCAGGGAGAGCTACTGCATGCGTGCACATAGCAGAGAGTATCCCGGGCCCAATGTGACAGGCCTCACGATCTGCTTAAGTGACCGCAGAATCTCGCACCCACTAAATGCACAACATGAAACGGTCTCGAGCGGAGCGAAGCATGTGTTGGGAATAGTTTCCTTGTTATCAGCCGCAGCTTCTTGCAGTCGTTTGCCCATGTTCATTCGCCAATCGGGTTTCCGATATGTACAGAGGCAGATCAGGATGTATAGGTGGAACCGGCTAACGGCCAACATGTTGCTCACCGGCAGCCGTTCTGAGGCTGGATCTTCGATGGCCTTGGTAGTGCTTTTGATACGGTTTTGGGTGTAGTGAGCCTGGTGGTATAGGTTATTTGTGGTGCTGGTATTGGAGGCTTCTCTCTCGCGTCTCACGCGGTGGTATCCCCTAATGATTATGGGACCTCCTGTGGATGGCTTGGCGGCAGTAGTAAGAGCAACGAAGAGGATGAGATGGTGGACGAGAAGGATGTCTTGAGTGACATTGAATCCAATAAGGTGATAGATCTCGAGACCCTCGGACTCAGTGGGAACTGCTGAGAATGATCAGGCTTTCACCATGGGGAGCGGTGGAGGGTGTAGTATTGTGGCTAAGTTGGGTGATAGCCAGCAGCACCAGCAGGAGACAGTAACGGCTGATTCAACGCCTTCTACGGCATCGGGTGGTTATGGAGAGGAGGATGCTGTATGGGGCGAGCTTATGGAGGGTGCAGGGGCCTCAGCTGATGCTAGGATTAGACCAAATGACCTGCATTTGGCTGCCTTCAGGGGCGATGTAGTCGAAGTGAAGGCTTTGATCAGCACTAAGGTAAGGGTCCATATTTAATTGGCGCTGTAGTAGTACTGCACTGCTATGGTGTAGAGTGATTCGTGCCTTGGAATGCCTACAAGCGCTATTATAGTACTTTAGTCAATATCGCAGAAGCCAGCATCGTGTCAATCATCGTCGGTAACTTGTGAATATGGTTAGGAGCATCAGATCAACCAAGCGGATAGTGAAGGCATGACACCATTGATGGTGGCTGTTAAACAGGGCCATTTGGCTGTTGCTGAGCTGCTCTTGCCGCTCAGTGATGTCCATGCTACTGATAAGGAGGAATGGACAACTCTGCATTGGTAGTAGAGGCATGAGTGCGGCATAGGATAAGGAGTTTTAGGGCGTGCGAAGTTGGAAGGTTGACATTCGTTGAGAAGCTCTGTGAGGAGCATTCGGAGCTGTTGGCTATGAAGGATAAGAGGGGTCTCTCTCCCCTGCATGTAGTGGCTTCTGACTGCCTTATGCCTCTCGAACCGCCAAGTAGATTGCTTGTTGGCAAGGGAACGAGGAGTTGGCTAAGATCTTGTTGGAGAATAAGGCTGACATGAAAGCCTTGACCAAATGGGGCGAAACGCCTTTAGTGAGTTCTCTTTGCATGTAACACCTCAGAGAGTGTATTTATCATCATCATCAGCACCACGCGGCATTCTTTGGCCACGTTGAGGTGTGTCGACTCCTATTGGACCACGGGGCGGATCCTCTAGTGAAGGATAGACTGCGTCGTTCGGCTAAGTCGTTGGCAAGTGGCAAGGCAGCCAAGGCGGAACTACGGTAGGCCCGGGTGGGTCTTCAGTCTTATTGTTATTTGTTATAGAGATCTGTTCCGCGAGGCTGTTGCTCTGAACTCGTCCTCCACGGCCTCCCTCAATGAGTGAGAGCCCTGGTCAATTCTGTATAAGTGACCCATGATGACACGTAGTGGTGCTGTTCATTATCAGTATCAGCCTAAGAGTCGTTCAAAGTAGTAGGTGCATTTCGTTTCAGAGTTTGTCAGTTGTGACAGATGGTTGGGTTCAGTGCCAGAGCCGCATAAAACCTTCAGGGTTTTTTCATGAGTCTCATTATAGCGGATCGTTGTGGCCATACTCGCCGAAGTCGGTCGTCCCCAGTCTACAGCCTACTGGTCCTCTCGGTCTGCCTTTATGCTGCCATCCAGCTTATCACGCCGGTTCTCTTTGTGCTACCTCGAACGTCTGTGCCACAGTCCGCCGTAGCGAGCACTTACAGTAGGCCGTATACCACTAACTTGAGAGCTCAGCATGGCAGTGGCTCGAAGAGAACATCCTATGGCTATCCAATCTCCCTCATGGTCTTGGGCGTGGGTATTGCAGTACTAACGTCTTCAGTTCTGATGAGGAGTAGGGAGGGCAACGGGGTTAGTCGTCGTAGTGCTGTTGAGGCAGCTGCTCCGATCGTCGAGCCTTCACCTATTCTACCTAGGAATCCAGCTGTTCGGGTCGGTACCCTTAGTAACGGGTTGCAGTATGTGATTCAAGATCATAAGGATGTTGGTGGGAAGTCAGTCCATGCAACACTGGAGGTTCATGTTGGTAGTCGGGATGAGAGTGCAGGGGAGCAGGGGATGGCACATCTTGTAGAGCATGCTGCCTTCATGGGCTGTGATAAGGAGAGGGCGGCACTGGCCATGAAGGGAGGACAGAGTAATGCCGAGACGGATTATCATCATGTTAGCTTCGAGACTGTGGTCCTTAACGCGGAAGGCCTTGGGGCTGCTCTTGAACTACTGCGACAGGCGGGCTTTGAGGCGAAGTTGAATAGGGATGTAGTGGAGAGGGAAAGGCTGGTGGTGCTGCGTGAGAAGGCCCAGATGGATACGCATGACTATGCCCAAGAGTGTGCGGCGTTAGAGGCCCTGCATAGGGAAAATGTATTGGGCACGCAGTTTCCTATTGGGAGCTCTACCCTAGTACAGGGATGGACGGTGGGACAAGTGAAAGACTTCTACAAGAAGTGGTTCAGACCATCCAATAGCACATTGTTCATCGTTGGGGATCTTAACGGGCGAGAGGAGGAAGTCATTTCTGAAATCGATCGGAAATTTCAAGCTGTCGAAGCAGGTGTTGCTGCTTTACGTAAGCCCGTGTACCATGAGTGGCATCCTAAGGCTCCGACTATTCGCATAGACTCCCAGTCGCAGAATTCTGCTGTGGGTCGCATAACGTTGATGTCTAAGCAGCCAGTGCATCCATTGCGGACTTTGGCCGACATGAGGAAGTATGTAGCAGAGGACATCGCTATACGAGCGGTGGCTTCGAGACTTCAGAGGGCGAGCAGGGGTATGGGGGTCCCGGTCGTGGCCCGAGGCCGACTGTGTGGACAGCATTCGGGAGGGCTGTAGAGTGAGTAGCATAAGATTGTGGTACGACAGTGGAAGGAGCCAAGCTCGGCGTGAGAGAGGCGGCCAGGATCGTAGCTGATGTGTGCTCTAGTCCATTGGCAAGGGAGGAAGTGAGAGTTTTTGGGGAGGATTATGTGAAGGGGTTGGCTGATATGGAAGATGCTAGTAGTGATGAGCAGCTACAGATGCCGATGGATCTCATGTTACTGGGTCATACGCCAGTGGCCCCTGAGGACGCGACTGGCCTGGCCAAGGAGACCGTGAAGGAAGTGAACCCGATGGAAGTGATGGAGGGGGCACGTCGAGTTTTCGGTGGTCTGTTGGACGAGAGGCTCAGGGTTTATGCAACTGGCAAGGGCTGGACGAAAGCCGCCATTCTAGAGGCCCTACGTCAGGGTTCTATGGAGAAGGGACCAAGGCCTCAGCCTCTGGCCTTGCACTGTCATCGCCTATTGGAGGATGATGAGAGCTCAGCACCACGTGTACTCGATATAGGCAAACACGACGGAGTCTACAGTACCCGCTTAGACACTGGAGTGAAAGTACGAGTGGTGCAGTCGGCGGGGGAGCCTGGGAGCTATCGTGTACGTATACGGTGGCCAGGAGGAGCATTGAGAGCTCGAAGTGCGGCTCATGCAACCGTCGCCAGCCATGTTCTTGCTTCTCAGTGGCAGACAGCTGATGGCAGTGTTGATGCTTTCATGAAGGAGCACTCACTTAGCGAACCGGTGATGGGTCAGTCACTAGAGTGGACCGAAATCAGTGTATCGGGGGCTAAAGATGTTCAGGCTGCCTTGGAATTCCTCAAGTATGTGCTGGGAAGGCAAGTTAAGGCGGGTGCTAAGGGGTCGGTCCATATCGCCAAGGCTCTGGCGAGCCTGGAGGCCCTACAGTCCGGTAGGGACCTGTCTCTTGAACGAGAGGGGCTCGATAGGCTGGTGAGCAGAATGTACCCTGGCACGGATGTGCTCAGAGAGCCACAGAGCTTGGGCCAGGTCCAAGAGGTTACCAAGGAGCTATCTTGGGGTGACGACTCACAGCTGGAGATTGATATGGTCGGCGACTTCGACAGCCCTCAGGAGGCCTTCTCGGCAGCTGATCGATTCTTTGGATCATCGAAGATGGTGGAAGGGCAGGCGGATGATGAGACTGTTGCAACGCTGCCTAATGCGGCTGATTCAAAGACTGATGCTCCGCAGAGGGTGAGCTTACCGAAAGTCGCTGACGATCGAGCCTTGGTACTCCTAGGGGGAGGTATGAAGGAGCGCCCAAGGTGGCAGGTAGCCCTACTGGCAGAGGATATCCTCAATGCAGCACTCTTCAAGAGGCTGAGGGAGGAGACTCGACTTACATACGATGCTCGGGGGTCGTTCTTGGTACCAGATCGCCCTTCTACTGGTGCGGGCCATTGGACGGTGGCGGTCCATACTGATCCAACTGATGCCGCCCAATGTGTGACAGAGGCCCTACGGGTGATTCGAGGGATGAAAAAGGTTGATGAGTCGTCCTTGGCCAGAGCTAAGGCCAGTGTGATGGGGCAACTTTCGCAGCTGCAAACCGCCAATGCCTTCATCTTGGCGATGTTGGACAAGCCTGGAGGGCTGCACGGGATAGAGCAGGTTACATCAGAGGAAGTAGAGGCAGTGCTCAAAGCTATGTGTGTTGGGCCTACGTCCACACACGTTGTCGTGGCCGAAGGCGAGAATGATAAAGTTTCTACGTGGTTGGGTTGGCTCAGCGTTATGGAGGGATGTCTACTGTAGTAGCTCAGTTTGCTTCGTCACTATAGCGCCAGCAAAGAAGAAAGGATCGGAGGCGATTGTGAAGCCCAAGGCGAAAGCTAAGGGTAAGGCCAAAGCCAAAGCTGCTGCTACTGTTGCGGCAATTGAAGTGGTGAGTGATGTCGTTGTTCACTGTCTTCTCGGAGGTTTCCGTATTTAGGATCCAGAAGAGGCGGATGTATTGATCGAGGCATGCAAGAGCTGAGGTATCTTCAAACGCAGTGCGGCAGCTCTTGGTGTGGCGCTAGAAGCGCGTCGTCCAGGGACTACCGTAGTAGTTAACGAGAACGGCTTGGCCAAACCGAGGAAGGGGACCTTTGCAGTCAAGGTCATACTCAAAGGTCGACCTCCATGCGCGATGCCGTTGTTGTGTAGGTTCATGGAGGCAAAGAGGTCCTATCCCTAGTGGGTATGCCTCGTCCGTTCAAAAGTCTTCGTGAACTGGATATGGATGAGGCTGCTACTCAAGTGGTGGAGGCATTGAAGTGATGACCTGTCGTAATACCCATTGCTGTTTGAGCGAATGATATCACGTTTGAAAAGCCTTTCGGTTGAACGCTGATTGACATGCTCCTAGGCAACAGAGGGTTATGCAGCTCATCTAACTACAATTCGAATGAGTTTTCATAACGTGCTCGACTAATACTGCATCGTGTTGGACTTGGCAGAGTTGGCTCAATTGGTGATCCTGACGGATGACATTGTGTCGGCATTTTCACTTTCAGGGATGCTGTATCATTATTTTTATGGTTAGGGTTCCTATGAATCTTATTGATGCTTTCACCGTTGTTTTGCTGGATGAGCTTTTGCCTGAATGCTTCTGACCTTCGCTCGGGAGGCTGATTCTAAATCCCTACAAGGGGAAGCGCCTCTAACGGTTGACATCATGGTGGCGGAACCAATATGGGAATAATAGATACAAAGGCTGCGATTACTACGTTGATGGTAAGGTAAAGCCGGCAGTGGTCTCTTCTGGTCATGATGACTACGATGCTATTGTAGCTTTGTCGTATGAGGGAGTATCTGTCGATGATATCGTGACGCGTGACTTCGACGTCTGGTGTGGAGGTGTGCAACACAACAAGGAAGGCAGTCCTTTTTCCTCCAAGTTGAAAACGGAATACGGTGCGCGAAATATGACAAGAAAGTTTGATTGGTATGGGTTTGGTATTGGATGGAGACTGCAGTTAGATGAGTTCGGGCCTGCGAGTTGAGTCTGTATTCCACAAGGGATGAACAAGGTACTGAGCCTTGGGCGGCAGCGGTTATGGTGAAGTCTACTACGATGCCCATCGATCCTCCCTTCAGTATGGTTTACGACACGTCCCTCTTGTTCATTTTGAGACACAGACCTACCAGCAGCAGTGTTCTCATTTCTAAAATGAGGAAGCCGACCACGTGAACGGTCTTTTTGTAGTTGATGTTTTTCACTGTATGGAAAAGGAAAGTGCTGTTGAGCATGAGTGATTGCAGGGAATACTGCTGTCACCATATCAATGATGCATTTCGCGACCGATTCACTTCAGTATCAGTTTGATTCGATGTCCGGTCCGGGTCGTGCGGACGAGGCGCATCCCTCGTTGGGATCTGCTGCCCATGAGGAAGAGCCTCGTAACGCTATGGATGTGGCTGACGACCTCCTTAATCATCTAACGGCAACTCAGTTGCTCTATACGCTCCATCGAGTCCATCATCTCTGCTATCATGTAGTGGAGATTGGAAGTACAGCGTTAGGGAGTATGGTGATGTTAGGCACCTGATAAGGCAAAGGAGCTCCTCAATGAGGACCCTAACCTATCCTTAGCTCTCATCCATGCACACTATCTTCTAGGTGTGACTACAGGGGAACGTCTCCTACCTCTTACTGCAGATGAGGTAGGGTCCTGTAAGTGCTCATAATGGACAGCTATTTCATCTTTCAGGTGAGCTTAGCGAAAGACAGGTTGCAACAGATCAGGACACAAGGTGCAGTTGCAGCCTCAGAGTCGGCAGTACAACCTATGCCTTTCTATGCTCAACAAAGTGCAGGCGCAGTAGGCCTTCAAACAGTGGTAGGATAGTGCAGTATATTGTCGAGATCCTTCTGATGGTCCTTTTCACAGCTCCCAGCCACCACTCCAGAGGCGCCTACGGACAACAAGCTTGATCATCTGGCCCGGGAGATATCGGCCCTCACTGCTTCCAAGGTTGCTGCTGATACCGAAAGTATCATGGTCGCGCTTGGTAACCTGTCGCCAGAGCAGATAGCATCACTGCCTGAGGAGGTGCAGGCACAGGTGCTCGAGCTCTTGCAAGGGACCGAGTGATAATCCTTTTCCAACAGTTCTCAACTGTTTTACGTATGTATGATTTCAAGCGTGATAGCGGGTCAGTGTTTCGTAAAGATATGTCGATTCACAGACAACTCCTGGTCTTGGTCATCTTGCAGAGGCTTGTCTCGGGGTATATCCCTTTCTCCAGCTCATGTTCTTGGCTTGGTCAGTGATGACAGGGATATTCTTTGGGAAAGGAACAATGGTTGCAGCAAGGTGTCTGGACTTCATAACGCTCGCATATTTAGTGAGCTCGTCCATTCTGCAGACCATCTTCGCTCATTTACACCTATCGAACAAGTTGTCCGTAGCATGAGCTTCATCCATTTCATCATCAATAATTGATGATCAATTCCGCGGAGATAAGCGGGATGGATGTTACCTCCTACTACGAGTGTAGAATAGGCGTATCTATTCCAGCCGTAGAACCTCCAATTTCGCATCTATGAAATTTCAATCGACTCCAAAATTTCCAACTCTCGTCGGAGTACTTGAAGACTCCTGTTTTCATACCGTTAGGAAATCCGCTTTCGCTGTGGGGCCGATATGCCATGTATATTAGCTTGCTAGATTTAATGCCAATGTGAATGATGGCCACTTTCCCAATCCATGTTCGTATCTCTGGCATATCGGCCCCATTGTGAGCCGAAGGGGAAGGTATGGTATCGCTTGTGTGAGATGAAGTCCATGGATTGGCATTTAAGTTTCACATATAGCCGTTCCGGCTGGGGATGATCGATAACGTTCCACTTCATCAGCTCCATTCCAATACCATTCTTTCGAGGAAGTACAGTACACGAAAGTTTCGTGACGAAACTGACCCGACCGACGTAGAATTAGCTCGTTCTGCATTTCAAACGACTCGCTGGATTGGCTTCCTTGGTGCAGAGGCCGACCTGAAGACTGCTACAGCGTCTTATCTAGTCATTTCTCCAAATTTTACAAGTCTCTGCGATTGCATTGAGTTTCGGAAATTTGATATCCTCAAAGTGGTTTTCATGTTGCAACTTTCGGGTTTTTTTCTCAAGCAGGGTTTTTAGGATCACAACAGAAATCTAAGGAAGACGAATATCAGCGATGAGAACGAATCCGTTACACGTATGTTGTAAGAGTAGATGTTAAGTCCCTCGGAAGCCGTCTAGGAATATGCAATGTATAGTCGCTATCGTCTAGTGGTTAGGACGTCACGTTGTGGCCGTGACAACCCCGGTTCAAATCCGGGTAGTGACTTTATCTCGATCCCCCTGGTTTGCACCAGTGATCATAGGCCGCTCGTCCATTGCAACTCAGTAAAGAGTTTTCCCGAGTTGGCTTCCCTGGCTCGACGTTTATGGAATCCTCGAATTCATCCGAGCGCTTCGATTGTTTACACAGGCTGTGCCCGAAGACGTGATTTAGAGTCAGATCGAGTGGTCGAGCAGGTGACTGTGCTATTCAGATCCTGGACCTCAGAATGGCACGGAATCTCGGCGGTCACTTAAGAGATGTGGAGACCAGGAACTTCCTGGAAGCAGAGGCTGGTGTTGCTTTTATAGTCCATTTTTCGAGCAACTTGTGACCATGACTGCACTGATGATGTTGCAGACACCCATTCGAATGGTGCAGGAGGGCGAGTAATTCTCAATGAGCATACAGACACGCCTCATCCACAAAAATAGCACTACCTTGTGACGCCTGTCGTCATTCAAATTTCCCGTAATACCCATTCTATCCATCAGTATGTCGTGGGCTCCTGCGAAGTAGCACTGCTGTCTCACGGGCGGAGGTCGTCGGATCTAGCACCTCTCGGTAGGGAGTTCGTTCCGCTGCGGAATGTTCACAAGTGCGGAACTTTAGCACGGCCGCTAGGTAATCACGTGCTTTTAAAGCACAATTAAGTTTATTGTCTACGAACACTTCTGCACAAACGGTATTGACCGTTATCGATTCATGAATAGACTTCTACTGAAATTGCACTCCGGTTGTGTAAAGCACTAGCGTAGTACACATTACGCACTACACAACGCGTAATGAGTCGTTTTTGAGCACTTCACGCGTAAAACTTTTATGCGTAAAACGTTGTCTGTGCGATAGATGATCAATTTATCATTTCTCCTTATTGCCGTGTACGCGAGTACAGTGCTGCGTCTCGGCTCAACTGTGCTGTTGCGTTGAGCATTTACGGGCATCTGCAGCAGTGGTTTTCAAGGTTGGCTGGAAACAGTTGCGGAACGCGTTGTTTGCTGGCAGTATTCCAGACTTGTTCCCTCCATCACTCGTTTACGTTTGTATTGTCGTGATAGAAATAGGGACTGTCCCTGTGTCCTCAGTCACCTAAGGCTTTTGTGTATCATGGCCAGCCATCTCCTCGTTTTCATCATGGCTTCAATTGAAAGTATCGTCCTATCAAGTCATCTCCGGACTTCATTTTACAACATCTCCTGGAGTGCTTCAATAGTCTCCAACGGTTTAGAGTATCATCTAAATGCTTCGTCCGCAAATCGCTCAGGCGTTGACTGGTGGGCATGCTTCATCTCAGATGATGGCCAGGTGCTCAGCTACAACGTCACTTTACTATCAGAGCCACTACATGCTGTGACCGGGTCAAAGGTCTTTCTCAGAGTCTCTGGAAGCAGTCATTGTGGGAAGTTTGCTAGTTTCGATGAACTCGCCAAGGTCACATCTTGGAATCTTACGGCGGGCCTGGTTAGCAAGCACAGCGTTGATAGTGTAATTCTACCTCACGGTTATGGTCGGAGAATGAGTTGTATCTCTGAGTCCTGTGAGCAACGCATGGACTACGGAGCTGCTGCGAGTTATCAAATACTGATATCTGAGCTGAGCAACGGTGACACCGGTTTTTTCATGACTTTTGATGGAGCTGGTTTTCTGAAGGATTATTCGTCAAATCGCCAGGGAACGGAATTCTCGGTCGCTACTAAGGTAAGCTTCTCTTGATTTTCGACTGTCGCATCGGTAACCGATGTTTAGTTACGTGCAAGATACGACCCAGCTACACTGCCCTATCGAACGCCGTTCCCGACAATAGTTGGAGTAACTAAGGGCGGCTGGCTCGACGTTGCCCGGATATATCGTAATTGGGCTGTTCCGGTATTTACTGGTCCTAAGAAGAGGACATGGTTTGATGATGCGCCAGGCGCTCTATGGGTCAACTCCCACTGGGAACCAACAGATGGTTTCGCTAAGCTCGGCGGTCAGCCAGCTCGTGTACTCGATAATATCAGGAGACTTCGTAGATTAGTTGGCGACAAGACTGAGATCGCTTTACACTGGTATGAATGGGATAATCTAGGGTATGATGATGGGGATAATTACACTGACTGTCCCGATGCTGCATGCGGGTTCGACACCCACTACCCGCATTACTTACCTGCCCGACCAAACTTCGGCGATGCCGTCGACGAGCTATTGGACATGGGCGTGCGAGTGTTCCCTTATATCAACGGGAGGCTTTTTGATGTCCAACTGCCGGAATGGAAGGACTATGTTGAGTCAAAGCATGCCTGTCGCAATGAGACCGATGATGTGGTTGTGGAGGACTTTGGGTCTGGCACTTCCTTCGGTGTACCTAATCCGGACGGCTTCTACTGGTCGACCGTCATAGAAGGAGTATGCAGCGACATGATGTGAGTCATTGGGAAGCTTGTGTTCAGTCTCCCGTTCATTAATGTGGAGTCGAAATTGCAAATCGACAGGTGGTGAAACTAAGAGTTGCCTTTTTTATCAGACGTAAATACTCAAGTCTTGGTGGTATCTACATCGACGAGCTTGCTGCTGCTCCAAACCTTCCATGTTATATCAATGGCCAAGGCCACAATTTCGTACACGGAATCAACAAGGTTGTGATAGGGTAAGCCACGGACTGTTTGGTGCTGAATCGAATGTTATGTCGACAGGTGCGCGAACGGTATGTCTCAGTGGAAGGCTGGGTTGCCATCCATCACAGAGTCAAACGCAGAAACCATGATGCGTACCGTAGATGCATATCTTACTCTCGTTGCGATGGGTGCTGATGACCCGGTGCCGGTATTTGGTGCAGTGTATGGTGGGTTTTATAAGGGTATCGGTTCATACTTCTCCCGAAGAACTGATGGTCATCCGCACAATTTTACTCGTGCTGTTTGTAAGCAGCTCCTCTTCGGGAACCGTATCGGCTGGTTTGCTCTCGACGGTAACGACGAACTCCTCAGCTTCCTCGAAGATTCGACGGAGTCCGTATCCTTCCTCCGACGGGCTCTCTTTCTTCGGTCAAAGTTTTCATTGTGGTTCGAACATGGCCGTCCTGGCAGACAGTTCGGACACACCAAGCAAGAGTGGATCTACGAGTCTGTTCATCTGAAGAGTTACCTTGTCATCACTTGTAAACCTTTCGAATCCTCTGGCAGTCCAGTGGAAGAGTTGGTGTATGGTGAGGTAGATACGACCGGATCGTATGCTGCTTCTGACGTATCATTGGAAGAGACCATTTTAATGTAGGTTGTGTCTCACATTTTGTATTTCAACGATCTCTGTTTTTCTCTGAATCGTCACGTTTTTTATACTCGCTCGGTTTCGTCGGGTAGGCGTGGGCGCCCATGGCGTCATCCTTTGCGTCGAAGCAGCCGACTCGGCTGAGCCGAGTCGCAGTTGTCATCGCCTAGCCCTCAAACCAAATTGTATTTCTCATGTACACTCTTCGTGTTGTGCTCACTGTGGCATGGGCAACAATAAGTGATGAGGTTTCGGTAATCTGGTGGTGGCTGAACCAAATTTGTTGGAGAGGCGCTTAACTCAACACTTGACGTGCGCAAGCTTGCTGATGGGGGGTTCTAGTACTCCATGTGAAGTGGTAGTTTCTTTGTGTGTGGCTTTATGGAGAGAAACTCTTGGCAATTTGTTGAGCTTGCGGGAAGAGGTGGTGGAGAGTAATGGAGCTGTGTCTGTGGGGACAGTGCGCTGTTTCTGTATCAACCTCACAGACGTCTTGGTCTTAGCTCGCCATTTGATGAGCAATTGCAGAACGACACTGCTATTTGTAGTTCTTGAGGTCTGTTCCTGCCGAGATGGAAGACTGTCTCAGAGTAAGTCAGCCTCACTGTTTAAAGCAATGATAATAGTGTTCTCGGTGGGGTCAGTGCTTTCAGTGTCGACGTAGTAGCTTTGTAAGACTTTTTGCTCAGCAAACTTTGCTGTCTTGGGAACCACGATGTGGTTCACTGGTGGGTGTTGTTCGATCATGCGCTCTGATGCCCTCTGGAAAAGGGACGTTTCTCACCTCGATCTATTGCGTTGAATCTCAATGTAAGGCCGGGTAGTGATGTCATCAGTGGGTAGGGTCCCTAGGGTGCAGCGGGTCTGACATATATTTGGTCTGAACATGGAACGCCTGAAGTTGGTCTCACAGCACGTGACTAGCCCAGAGAGTGCCCCAGTGCTTTGGCGGCCAAAAGAGAGCTACGCTCGCACTACAAAAATGTATGCTCCCCTGGAGGTCATATACGCACTGAACTGGGTACTCAGGCGTAAGTTTCGCCAGCTAGTCCAGCAAAAGTTCGACAGTGACGTGGATGGTTACGAAGCATTGCACAAGTGGTCTGTGGAAAACCTAGGTCAAGATTTCCACGACCACCCCAGGCTGGTTATCGTGGTGTTTCAGGTTTATTCTGGTCTGTGTGTTGGGATTTTGTTGGGATGATCGGAGAGAAGAATTCAGCTGCTCTGGAAAATGAGAAGGACATGGTGATCTCTCGTCAGGGTTCCTCCCTGGCATGGATGATGACCCGCTATCGGGATGCGCAGAGCGGTGCTGATTGTTCTCAGGTCGGCTCCTGTTTTTTCCCACGGAGCTACGTGAATCTGGCGGAAAACTGCCTCCGGCCGAGCAAGAACACTGTTGCCTGCATTTTCAATGGCGAAGGGCATGCCTCCAGTGAGCCCTCCTATCCCGCCACGAGCATCAGAGGGTTTTGACCTATGGCTCAGGAACGATCACCCGGCATGAGTTACGAGGGATGGTCTCTATTCTTCAGCAAGCTTTCGTCGCAAAGGGCATCCAGAAAGGCGATAGGGTGAGGAATGGGAGGAATTAGGAGTCTTCTACATGATGATCGCGCAGGTGTGTGGGGTGACCGCGAATACACCTGAGACCATCGCAGTCATGCTGGCTCTGGCATCTCTTGGAGCGATATGGAGTAGTAGAGCTGAGTCAGATCAGCTGAACCTTCGAAATCGATACATGAGCCGTCCTGTTGTAGGCAGCGTGTCACCAGACTTCGGAGCATCGGGCGTGGTCGAACGATTCGAACAGGTGAGCTCTCGGTCCAAAGTTGAGTGTTGATCGCGTGCCTTGAGAAGAGTGACGACAATAAGCTGGCTCAGTAGGTATCCCCAAAGATGATATTCTTGGCCGATGGATACTATGTCAAAGGCAAATGGATGGGAGAAGAAGTGGCTACGACAGCTCGAGAGATCGTTCATCTACTCGGGTTCGATAATGACCTGGATAAGGTTGTGGTGAGAATTTCTCCGTACTACCGTCGTACTCTAGAGTAACAACAGTTTGCTGGACCAGCATTGCTATGCGCATCTCACTCGGTCCAGTCCTTTCCAATCGTTCATTGGTACGTGCTGGTCAGGTACTTCCATTCAAGCGATCTGGTGCAAAGAGGACTCGATTACCGTACCAGACTCTGCGAGCCTTTTTGGGAGGGTTCAAGCCGAGGCGAGTCGAGTATGCGAAGACGGCCTTCAATGACCCGGTCTTTATAATGTTCTCCAGTGGAACTACGGGGAAGCCTAAATGTGATTCTTCCTCGCTACTCTTACTGCGTCGTTGGTACCTACTTCGACGTTCTAGCAAGCGATTGGTGCTATATTGACCTGTCTCTTTGCCAGGCATTGTTCACAAGCATGGTTGCCTCCTACAATTGATGAAAGAGCATCAACTGCACTGCGATATCCGTCCTGGAGATAAGGCCTTGTAGGGTCCTCACCAGGTGTTCGACCTGAGCCACCTTCAGTCTCTGTTGGATAGTTACTATACCACGACAGCATGGATGATGTGGCAGTGGCTTACCACGATGCTGGCTTCTGAGGCGACGATTCTACTGTGAGGCTCACATCGTTTCCTTGGAACTCGAGTCAGCTATGCTCAGGTATGATGGTAATCCTTTCTGTCCTAACCCAGCTGTTCTGCCAAAACTTTGTAAGAAGCACGGCGTCAAGTTCTTCGGAGTTTCGGCTAAGTGGGGACTGGATGGCAAGGGGGGCCTCATTGAGGCTTTCCTTAGATACATCGATGCATTGCGCAAATCACTGGAGCGAGATCCGAAGCTATTCTCGCAACTGAACATGGATCAAGTTAGGATGATCTCCAGCACGGGTACGGCACTGACGATTCTCTTGGATATTCTCATATCAGTACTGCTTCATAGGTTCCCCGTTGGTACCGGAGAACTACGATTTCTTGTACAGACATTGGCCGCACATATGCGTGTCTTCTATCAGTGGTGGCACTGATATTATCAGTACCTTCATGCTGGGCAATCCGGATGGAGTCGTCAGGTGCGATCCTTCTGAGCTCTTCCCTTCTCGTATGATTCAAGCACAGCTTGTTGGTTGAATATTTCAGTTCGGTCGATTCTTGGCTGTATTCAGGCGAGGGCAAATTCAATGTCGTGGATTGGGCATGGCCGTGGAGGTGTGGGACGACTCCGGGCGTCCAGCTCGGCCAGGCGCTACAGGCGAGCTCGTGTGTACGCGGGATTATCACTTATTCTTCGAATTTCTCGATAGCCGGCGTTTTAGTCGGTGAGATACACTGATTCAGGTACCAAGCCTTTCCCATCCCAACCTTGGGGATTCTGGGGGGATGACGCAAACAAGACTAAGTGAGTTGGGCCCGCGATGCAGAGCTGATAGCGTCCCTACGCACGAATATGAGCACAATAGTAGATTTTCGAGAGATCCTGCCTTGCAGGTACCGTGAGGCGTACTTCAACAGTGAGTTTGGCCCGAATGTGTGGTACCACGGCGACTTCTGTGCTCTCTATGCTGAGGGTGGGCCTTCGAGACCGAAACGTCCGTAGATGCACCGTATATTTTCAGGGGGTTTAGCAGTTTTCGGGCGTAGTGATGCAACACTCAACCCGGGAGGGGTCCGCATCGGCACAGCTGATATATACAAGGTCGTAGAGCATATGCCTGAGGTGAGGATAATGTCGATTCTTCGATGATCACTATACGAGCAATCACCTCGAGAAGCTATAATGCCCGACCCCAAGATCGAGCACTCACCATTTTAGATTACGGAAGCGCTTTGCTGCGGTGTGTCTCGTAGTGGAGACGTGATCATTGCTCTCTTCGTGGTACTTCATGCTGGAGTCACTCTCGACAACGACCTGAGGGCGAAAATCAGGCGCGAAATCCAGAAGAGCTGTACTCGTCACCATGTAAGTGACAATGACGTTCCCATCGGCAGCGCACTCTCGCATGAAGAGCCAGGTTGTATGCTGGACTCTAGGTACCGGGAATAATAGAACAAGTAACTGACATACCTCGAACCAAGAACGGCAAGATTGTTGAGTTGGCCGTTCGTGAAGTTCTCCATCACCGCAAAGTGAGAAACGTCAGTGCTCTGGCCAACCCTCAAGTTCTGAAGGAGTTCGAGAAGTTCGCGATATGAACCGGACTCCGGTTACCGGAGCACACTTTTTCTCATGGCCTCTCTACGGTCGTACGCTTCGTTTTTGGGGCTTTCTCGACTTTTGTTCTCGTGAGTTTTATGATACGGGTCTCAGTGAGTTGACGCTACTATAAATCGCTAGTTGTCCTAACTCGGGTCGCGCTACGTTCTCACGAATTCGTAATATGGAGCATAGAAGTTTCGGAGAGGCTGTTTCGCTAGGAATGAATCGCCAAGGCGCAGTGCAACCGAAGAGAACTTCTTTGAAGTCCGGAATTCGGACCTCTCCACGACAGATGAAGCCTTCATCATGAAGGGACTTCATGCCTACATTGATAGCAATGCACATTGGCAACTTTGATCGGGGTCGACCGATTAATATTTCTCATTCCGATGCAGGATACCGAATATACTATACCCTTCAGTGACGGGCCTCCACGTCACGGTGACGTGACGTCGTCACCAGCAACGTCCCGCCTGAGGATTATTCTCAGGCGGGACATTGCTGATCGCCAGGGATTATTCACGTCACCCTGGCAGTTGAAACAGGCGGCACGCGGGTTTCGTTCGTGAGAGGACTCTAGGCTGAAGTGTTCAGCGGGGTTATAGTCATCTTGCCTTAGTCCATCGTCCTGTCCGCCTTGGTGACACCAAGTTGGTGCGCCACCAATGATGGCAGGGATTCACCGGTTACCGGTTAAATAACTACCGTAGTTATTTAATAACTGTTATTACCAGATAATATGGCTGGTAAGTTTCCGATGGTAATTCGACCATATTAGCGGTACGTGATGCCTTCCAGTCTTCGCGTTCGCTTGTCCGCAGCATCATAGCCGAGTTCAGAAGCATTACCGTTCTCCCTCATGATAAAAGTGAGTTCGAAAGGCCATCCATCGAGTGGAAAAGCTGCTCGCTGCTGCCAGTGGCAACTCGTCGCACCGTCAACCGCCCGAGATTTGGCTGTAGGTAGCATCCAATGTTCGGAATATTGGGAATATTTTATTCCGGTATTAGTCACGTTGAGTCGTTTGTAGATGTTTGTGAGCTCCATAGGAGGCTCTTAGCGCACTAATCACAGTTTTAGTTCCTCCGGGGGAAGGCTTATGCAGGAAGCTGTCAACCCGTATTCCAATCTGGCTTTTCTCGACACCACTTCTTATGATCGAGGTTGGTGTTGAGCGACTCACACCCTGCGGAGGCGCTGCTCCAAAGACTCATCGAATCCGCAAAACTCTTACCTAGCATTGTTTCTGGGAGATAGTCTAATACGCCTCGCTGGACATTCTTTTCGGTTGTGAAGTCCACTTATAATCCATACAGTTCATTATCAGGTATCACATAAAGCCTTTCCCTGGAAAGTTTCCAGCAAATCCAAAGTTCCATATCTCGTCAGAGTATCTCTCATTCTCAAAAGAACCACTTCAAGACTTGAACGTAGGTTTCCATCATGCGATTAGGGACCGTACAGTAATAAACTGGTAGAAACCTCCCACGGCTATGACGTACTAATATAATGAACTGTTCAGCAAATTTCAGAGGATAGACCACAAAGGTAGCGTCGAGAC